TGACTGTGAGGGTTGCCAGGGGAGGATGGTGAGTGACTGTGAGGGTTGCCAGGGGAGGATGGTGAGTGACTGTGAGGGTTGCCAGGGGAGGATGGTGAGTGACTGTGAGGGTTGTCAGGGGAGGATGGTGAGTGACTGTGAGGGTTGCCAGGGGAGGATGGTGAGTGACTGTGAGGGTTGCCAGGGGAGGATGGTGAGTGACTGTGAGGGTTGCCAGGGGAGGATGGTGAGTGACTGTGAGGGTTGCCAGGGGAGGATGGTGAGTGACTGTGAGGGTTGCCAGGGGAGGATGGTGAGTGACTGTGAGGGTTGCCAGGGGAGGATGGTGAGTGACTGTGAGGGTTGTCAGGGGAGGATGGTGAGTGACTGTGAGGGTTGTCAGGGGAGGATGGTGAGTGACTGTGAGGGTTGTCAGGGGAGGATGGTGAGTGACTGTGAGGGTTGCCAGGGGAGGATGGTGAGTGACTGTGAGGGTTGCCAGGGGAGGATGGTGAGTGACTGTGAGGGTTGCCAGGGGAGGATGGTGAGTGACTGTGAGGGTTGCCAGGGGAGGATGGTGAGTGACTGTGAGGGTTGCCAGGGGAGGATGGTGAGTGACTGTGAGGGTTGCCAGGGGAGGATGGTGAGTGACTGTGAGGGTTGCCAGGGGAGGATGGTGAGTGACTGTGAGGGTTGCCAGGGGAGGATGGTGAGTGACTGTGAGGGTTGCCAGGGGAGGATGGTGAGTGACTGTGAGGGTTGCCAGGGGAGGATGGTGAGTGACTGTGAGGGTTGCCAGGGGAGGATGGTGAGTGACTGTGAGGGTTGCCAGGGGAGGATGGTGAGTGACTGTGAGGGTTGTCAGGGGAGGATGGTGAGTGACTGTGAGGGTTGCCAGGGGAGGATGGTGAGTGACTGTGAGGGTTGCCAGGGGAGGATGGTGAGTGACTGTGAGGGTTGCCAGGGGAGGATGGTGAGTGACTGTGAGGGTTGCCAGGGGAGGATGGTGAGTGACTGTGAGGGTTGCCAGGGGAGGATGGTGAGTGACTGTGAGGGTTGCCAGGGGAGGATGGTGAGTGACTGTGAGGGTTGTCAGGGGAGGATGGTGAGTGACTGTGAGGGTTGCCAGGGGAGGATGGTGAGTGACTGTGAGGGTTGCCAGGGGAGGATGGTGAGTGACTGTGAGGGTTGCCAGGGGAGGATGGTGAGTGACTGTGTGGGTTGTCAGGGGAGGATGGTGAGTGACTGTGAGGGTTGCCAGGGGAGGATGGTGAGTGACTGTGAGGGTTGCCAGGGGAGGATGGTGAGTGACTGTGAGGGTTGCCAGGGGAGGATGGTGAGTGACTGTGAGGGTTGTCAGGGGAGGATGGTGAGTGACTGTGAGGGTTGCCAGGGGAGGATGGTGAGTGACTGTGAGGGTTGTCAGGGGAGGATGGTGAGTGACTGTGAGGGTTGCCAGGGGAGGATGGTGAGTGACTGTGAGGGTTGCCAGGGGAGGATGGTGAGTGACTGTGAGGGTTGCCAGGGGAGGATGGTGAGTGACTGTGAGGGTTGTCAGGGGAGGATGGTGAGTGACTGTGAGGGTTGCCAGGGGAGGATGGTGAGTGACTGTGAGGGTTGCCAGGGGAGGATGGTGAGTGACTGTGAGGGTTGCCAGGGGAGGATGGTGAGTGACTGTGAGGGTTGCCAGGGGAGGATGGTGAGTGACTGTGAGGGTTGCCAGGGGAGGATGGTGAGTGACTGTGAGGGTTGTCAGGGGGGGACGGTGGGTGACAGTGTAACTACCGTGAAGTAGTTAGTAGTACTACCCAAGCTACACTACTCTATATTTACTGAGAGTTTACTCTAGGTCTGCAGTATGCCCTTAAAGTAAACTCAGTGTTTGGCGACTATTAGCCCTTGTGGTAGCCTCAGTGACTGGTCATACAGGTACTCTACCCACGACAACATGTACACTCCCCCATGGCCTTGACAGCTTTAGTAAACCCATCTCCCATTGACCGCAGCGCTTGACAGGACCTTAAGAGTCCTACAAGAATGTATCCATTCTCCTGCATCAAGTCAACTCTCTAAAATAATAAAGTGAGCAATACGGAGGATATAGAAATCACAGAGACATTCTAAACAGAAAACCAGAGGTGACCGAGTGAATTCCATAAGGAGAGACTCGACTAGATTGGTGATGGCGCACTCTTCTAGATCTACTCACCTTATTGTGCCTGTAGGGGGGATCGAACTTCAGTCTTTGAGTTCCGCCTCGCAACGTTTAATTAACTTATATACACTACGACTGTGATTATACACCACTCGCTACACTCCCCCCCCCTCATACAACTACCGGGACTGCCATACAAGAACAAGTACACAAGAATGGTCTACAAAATACACTCTCTTAAGGCCCAACTTCCGGTATGCAAATTAGCTTTCGGGCACAAGTACCGATAAGACAGCAACACTCTAAGTGTGTCCTTCCTCAGTGGTACCTGGTTAACACTACACACCAGACCAACACCCACTATACATAACATACGTTAGACCAATACTAGAACATGCAGCACCGATGTTCATAAATTGGAAAGCATAACACTGAAAAAGTAGAGGAGCTTTGCCACCTGATTATTGCCAGAGCTAAAGATTAAGCTACGAGGACAGGCGTATGGCGACTATGTAGATCTCGCAACGCTGAAGGATAATACAATACGCGGGGATTAAACTCTGAAGGATAATACAATAAGCGGGGATTGAACGCTGAAGGATAATACAATAAGCGGGGATTGAACGCTGAAGGATAATACAATAAGCGGGGATTGAACTCTGAAGGATAATACAATAAGCGGGGATTGAACTCTCTAAAGTCTACTGAACACTGCTGGAGCTTCTCAAGGTCCTCCTGCGACCCTGTCGTCGTCGTCGTCGTCGTCATCTTTCCTCGTCAGTTCCTCGTCGTGGGCCAAACTGACGTGCACGAGGTCATGGCCTCGGGTCAGTGGTTCATATAGATCATAAGAGTATGAACACCAATGATCCCCGGGCCGCTCCCCTCTAGGAGGATGAGATCAAGCGAGTCACATTCCTCCGGTCCGACATTACCTTTCTGACTGTGAACCCTTTTGTTTCCTGCCCGTTAGGTACTCCCTTACACAGTTTGGCGGCTTGCCACTTATCTCGGCTTGTCGCCGCGCCTTATACACAAACCTTTTGTGGGGGACATTATCAAAATGCTTTTTTATAGTCTTGGAAAATGCAGTCTATCCAGCCTTCTTTCTCCTGTCTAGTTTTGTTTAGGTATTCACAGAGCTTTGTGGAGCACCACTTTCCCTTCCGTCACAAGCTTTGTCCATGTGGTGCTGGCTCACTGGCTGTCTGGTTGGCTTTGGCAGGTTGGCTGGCTGCATCTAGCCAGGTCTGGCTGGCTGGCTGGGTGTGGCTGGCTGTATGTGGCTGGCTGGCTGGCTGTGTGTGGCTGGTTGCTGTCTAACGTCAAGTGTTCTCTCTACTCCACAGACAGTCCTGTACTGTGACAGCACATGAAATTACGATAGACAAAAGAGCTATTGTCAGCGAAAAATATCGTCACAGAGGCTGAGGGGACCCTAACACAGCAGATGGCGAAGCCATCATTCAAGACAATTAAGAGAAAGAGTCTTAAGACACAATTATAACTCCACACAGAAACACTTCCACCTTTGAACTAAATCCAGGTTCTCCAGGTGTGTGGGCTGCGCAGGTCTGGCCGATACTGGACCACTACTGCGCAAACAAACCCTCCCCCTCGAGTAAAGTTTACTCGAGAGCTTCCCCTTCCCATAGAGAGAGAGGAGGTAGAAAGGGAATTATCAAGGAGGGAAACGCCAGGCCATTACGACTATATAGCACTGGGAAGGGGTCAGGATAAGGATTTGGGATGGGACGGGGGGGATGGAAGGAATGGTGGCCAACCACTTGTGGACGGTCGGGGATTGAACGCTGACCTGCATGACGCGAGACCGTCGCTCTACCGTCCAGTCCAAGTGGATGGTGAGAGAGAGAGAGAGAGAGGGGCGGAGATATTTGGAGATGGAAGAGAATACGAGAGAGAGAATATGAGGCAAGAATACAAAGTGTCACATTAGGGGCGTGAGCAGGCGGCAGTGTGTGTCAAGCAGGTGTAGCAGGAGGGTGTGGCTGCAGGTGTGGCCGCACGCTGGGCGTAGGAGGGTGTGGCCGCAGGTCAGGCAGGACGCTGGCAGTGGCGTCTTACACAATACATGTAGCATGTAGCATGTCTACATGACTCATGTAGCTGAGCTTGTCTCCTCTGGTTCAGGGTCACTACAACACTACACAAGTGACCGCCAGCCTCCAACACTCATATCAACATTTCCATTTACTGATATAAATGTTATCAATTTAGAACCATAAATTTCTGGTACCCACTTTTATTAATAATTTCTTCTCTTTTTCCTTGACTTTCCTTTCCAACAAAATTTCCGACTTCATAACATGGAACAGAATTAAAATTACCAACTGGGATGCGTTGAGGGACTACACACAGGCGTATACGGTCGACCAGAGTGCGTACATGACGGGCCAGAGTGCGTACATGACGGGCCAGAGTGCGTACATGACGGCCAGAGTGCGTACATGACGGCCAGAGTGCGCACATGACGGGCCAGAGTGCGTACATGACGGCCAGAGTGCGTACTTGGGGCCAGAGTGCGTACATGATGGCCCAGAGTGCGTACTTGGGGCCAGAGTGCGTACATGAGGCCAGAGTGCGTACATGACGGGCCAGAGTGCGTACATGACGGACCAGAGTGCGTACATGACGGACCAGAGTGCGTACATGACGGACCAGAGTGCGTACATGACGGGCCAGAGTGCGTACATGACGACCCAGAGTGCGTACATGGGGCCAGAGTGCGTACATGACGGGCCAGAGTGCGTACATGACGACCCAGAGTGCGTACATGACGGGCCAGAGTGCGTACATGACGACCCAGAGTGCGTACATGGGGCCAGAGTGCGTAGATAATCATGGACTACAGACGATCGCCCGGGCTAACATCGCCAGCGTCAAGGTGGAGGCGGGCGGCGAGGCGGGCGAACCTTCGCCACGCTCCACGCTCCTTCGCCACTCTTAATGTCCAGAGCATATTGATGAATGGAAATGATCCACACGGGGAAATGTTGGGGGTCCCAGTGGAGGTGGACCTTGGGGCCAGGGGCGGGGAAATGTTGGGGTCCCAGTAGAGGTGGACCTTGGGGCCAGGGGCGGGGCATGTTGGGGTCCCAGTGGAGGTGGACCTTGGGGCCAGGGGCGGGGGATGTTGGGGGTCCCTGTGGAGGAGGACCTTGGGGCCAGGGGCGGGGCATGTTGGGGTCCCAGTAGAGGTGGACCTTGGGGCCAGGGGCGGGGCATGTTGGGGTCCCAGTGGAGGAGGACCTTGGGGCCAGGGGCGGGGCATGTTGGGGTCCCAGTAGAGGTGGACCTTGGGGCCAGGGGCGGGGCATGTTGGGGTCCCAGTGGAGGTGGACCTTGGGGCCAGGGGCGGGGGATGTTGGGGGTCCCTGTGGAGGTGGACCTTGGGGCCAGGGACGGGGAATAACTTGAGTGAGAGGGATAAGAGAGAAGACTGGAGGATGATGGGGAACAGTCAGGTCGACGTTAAAATAGAATGGAGGAGAGGAAACATGGGAGGGAGACTATCAACAATAGAATAGTAGGGGGGGGCGTGTGTTGGAGTGGGCGGCACTCCAACACACGCCCCGGCACTCCAACACACGCCCCAACACTCCCACACACGCCCCAACACTCCCACACATTCTGCAAACTTCGAGACACGGAGATTAAGCGCCCAGCAACCGTTTTTATAAGTCATCAGACTTCGCCGACGGATTCAGATCTCTCTACAGGAACGTAAACATTATTGTCAACTCACACTACTAAGACGCCTCGGGGACTTTATTCCCGCTAACTCACGGGCAAAAACTCTCTGGACCAGGAAACAAAGAGTTTGAAAAAGGAACCTGTTATTTTCCGGCAGGTTGAGTGCTCGCCGCGGCGCCAAACAGCAGGAGGGAAAGCGCGCGTAAGGGAAATGGACGATAAGGCGGAGAGCTGTTTGAAGGTTAGCTGATGTGGGTAGTTGAGTGCTGTTGGCGTAGGGGTGGGGGTGTAGGGGGGGGGGGGGGGGTGTAGGGGTGGGGGTTGTAGGGGTGGGGGGGTGGGGGGGGGGGGGGGGGGGGGGGGGGGGGGGGTGGGGGGGGGGGGGGGGGGGGGGGGGGGGGGGGGGGGGGGGTGGGGGGGGGGGGGGGGGGGGGGGGGGGGGGGGGGGGGGGGGGGGGGTGGGGGTGTAGGGGTGGGGGTTTAGGGGTGGGGGTGTAGAGGTGGGGGTATAGGGGTGGGGTTTAGGGGTGGGGGTTTAGGGGTGGGGGTGTAGAGGTGGGGGTATAGGGGTGTAGAGGTGGGGGTGTAGGGGTGGGGGGGGTACTTCCCTATCAGTAAATACCTCACTGTGAGAGATGAGATAAGAGGTGGTTACGGCATGGCCCCTGAGACCTTACTCAGGGGCCTGACGGCTGAGTGGACAGCGCTCGGTATTCGGAGTCCTAAGGTTCCGGGTTCGATCCCCGGTGGAGACGGAAATAAATGGGCAGCGTTTCTTTCACCTTCATGCTCCTGTTCACCTAGCTGTAAATAGGTACCCGGAAGTTAGACAGCTCCAATAGGCTGCTTCCTGGGGATGGGTAACAAAAAAGGAGGCCTAGTCGAGGACCGGGCCGCGGGGACGCTAAGCCCCGAAATCATCTCAAGATAACCACTATACTGTGCTCCAGGGCTTATTATTATTATTAACATCTTTATTGACAAAATTAATTACAATTTTGCCTAATCTGAGGATTTTGATAGTCTTATCAAAGTGAGGATAATGGTGGTATTCACTGTCACGCAGGACAGAGGGTCATACATAAGACAATAGGTCTAAGCTTTAGGCTGACTTATTCATTTCCATCACACACACTGTAGGCGGCCCTCCAGGCGGGCCGGCCCCCGGGGGAAAGTATTCCCACAATGTACCTGTTTTAAGGTATGATAGCAAGTTGTCCTGGTATGATAGCAAGTTGTCCTGGTATGATAGCAAGTTGTCCGCCCTCAAAGAACGTCGCTTTTCGCTCGTATGCGTTACATGTCCGCAACACCATACGTATTAGTGGCTTTAGGTATTGTATATACCACAGCTCTATCTTTAAATTGCAACTTTTATGTTTGTAAGTCAACTGTGTGTGTGTACTTTTCCTAAATAAAGAATTTGAATTTGAACTTGAACATACGGCCAAAAATTGTCGTACTAGAAAATGGAAGCAGCTGGCGAAAGCGACGTACTGTCCCGTTTTCTGTTTTGGGTCCTCTGGTAGGTTAGGATAAGGGCCCTTTACATTGACCGTTTTCTTGAGGTTGGGGAAACTTTAGGAGGACGGGCTCATGCTGGACCCTTCCACGCTACAATAACACTGAGCCAAGTTTAGAGTCGCATACAGTGAAACTAGTTATTAACGCAGCTCAGTGGCCAATACTTAAAAAAAACAAAAGAGTACTTAAGGACCTATCTGAGGCAATTTCTCCCCAAGAGGCAACACCCAATGACCGCCCGCCATCCAGTTACATACTAAATCCGCGTTCCCACGGTGCCACACAGTAGCCCAAATTACCATTTTGGGCTACTATGTGGCTGCTATCCTCCGCGATAGCAGCCACATAGTAAGCACTGACGATTTAAATGCGAGCACAGCACGCAGTAATATCCTTACACGACCAAAGATCACTCAAAAAAAAAATCGACCACTTACGGGCTATTCATGCCCGTGCCGCCACACGGGGCCACAGAAACCACTTCACCTACACCAGGAACGCGAGGCATCGCAAAAGTGACATCATGGTAAATAATGCGGGTTGCCATAGCTGCGTGGGCTGCTGTAAGTGCCTTTCTTCCCCTCATCAATTATCGAGAAATTGCCCCGGTAATTAGTAATTGTAATTAAGCCGCCCTTGATGAAGAGCAGTTGTTTGGTCCCCTCCGTGATGTCTCGCTCCTTCCTTGTGCTCCCCTTATTGTCCTGCCTTATCCTTCTTATCCTTTATCCTCCTCCTCCTCCTCCTCCTGCGGGGGTCCTCATCCTAATCCTTCGAGGGCCATCCTCCTCTTGTTCCAGCAAAATTAACAACTACCAACACTAACCACCACTATCATTAACCACCACCACTAACAACCACCAGTAACACACCTGTCATTCTTTACTCTCCCATACCAGCTGAATCCGGATTCACTCACTCTCTCACGAGCTGTGAATCCGAATTCCCCGAGCGATGACGTCATGGTTGGCCACCTGTCGTGCAGGCCGGGACAGGTGGCCAACGGTGCCATAGGATGCCAGAGTGCTGACCCTGGCGCACCTGCGTCTGGCGAAGGTCAACAACAGTGGTGGGGACGGAGCCAGGATGGTCCACACCTCTTAGACGGGGAGGTGGAGGATGAGGGAGACGGGGAGGTGGAGGATGAGGGAGACGGGGATGGAGTGAGAGTAGCCTCACTGGTCAGGGAGGAAGTAAAGGGGGGGTGGGGGGTGAGGTCAAGGAGTCAGGGTGATGCTAACGAAAGTGTTGTGGGATGACATCAGCTACCAGGGAGAGTGGAGGGGAGTGAGAGGTGAGGGGTGAAGGAGGGAGAGGTGAGGGAGAACATCTGGGGCCTACACAGGGTCCGTCTTGAAGTTTCAGCCCCGCTCCTGTGCCAGGTAAGTCCACTATGGGCTCACCATAGCCCGTGCTATTTGGAACTTTTTGTTCCCAGTAACTGAATCTATAACAACAACAGGTCCGTCTATTCAATTGAGAATTAATTAACTACCATACACCTACAGTAGTTCCCGCAAAATGCAAAACTCACAGGAAAAATCTACCATGAAACAGAGCATCAAAACATGTACACAAGTATCCGTGCGTGTATGGGTGAATGTATTCATCTACAGACTCCCATACATGGGGCCATACGTGCAAGTAACATTAGAGACACTGCCAGCTCCCTGACATCCCTGATCATCAGCGGCGTATGCGAGGCTGGCTAAACTCACAACTGCCCTTTGAAAATTATGTAAGGAATCATTTACAACCTTATATACCACATATGTCAGACCAATCCTGGATTACGCTTAAAGATAAACATTAAAGATAAACAATTTAACACGCGTGGTACGCGAACAAGGGGACACAGGTGGAAACTGCGTACCCAAATGAGCCACAGGGACGTTAGAAAGAACTTTTCCAGTGTCAGAGTAGTTAACAAATAGAATGCATTAAGCAGTGATGTGGTGGAGGCTGACTCCATACACAGTTTCAAGTGTAGATATGATAGAGCCCAGTAGGCTCAGGAACCTGTACACCAGTTGAGTGTCCACACCACCACATCATGCCCTGTGTACGATACATCGTGGGGGTAGTGTAGTCTCTGCCTCAAAACTCATAATGTCTTCTCAGGAGAGGAGAGGAGAGAGGTATCGCATAATATAAGCATGGAGTATACTGGAGGGTCCGGTCCGAAATTTGCACATTAGAATAACAACATTCTGGTTCGAGCGACGTGGTAGGAAATGCACAAGAGTCATATAGGTCTCAAGAGTCAAGGTCAAGAGTCTCAAGAGTCATATAGAGGCCTCACAACAGTCAGAGGTCACTGTATGAACACCGGAGGTCCGCGGGTGTTCAATATGCTCCCCAGGAAGTGTAAGTATTGCTGCCTGAACAGAAATGAACTTCAAGACAAAAATTAAGCAGTTTCCTACAAGATGTAATTATCAAAGAAGGCACCGAGCAGTTTCCTGCAAGACATGCCGGACCAACCAGGTTGTAGTGGACCTGTTGGACCACAAGCTCTCACAAGACAAGCCTGGCCCCAGACACGGCTTTGAGGGAGGGGGGGGGGAGGGTGAAGAACTCCCAGAACCCCATCCAGGTAACACCCAGGTCGTACGGGTATCGAACCAACGTTGTCTCCTCCCAGACACGCGCCCTCGCCCACGGATCTTCTGGCGTAACTAACCTCTCCTTCACTGCTGTGCATGATTACTGACTTTATATAATATCAATATTGAACACACTTTCAAATCCAGGGATCCCATCACAATGGTTGTACTCTTCAAGTCACTTGTGTTGTCCCGTCTTGAGTACTGCTCAGTACTCACTTCCCCCTTCAGAGCAGGAGAGATTGCTGAAATAGAGGGAATACAGAGAACATATACGGCACGCATAGACGCAATAAAGCACCTAAATTATTGGGATCGTCTCAAAGCCCTCCAAATGTACTCACTAGAAAGAAGACGAGAGAGATACCAAATAATATACACCTGGAAGATACTGGAGGGCCAAGTACCAAATCTACACAGTAAAATAACAACGTACTGGAGTGAACGA